AAAGGTTACATGTATAAGAAAAAGGCTCTGGCTCAGGTGACTGAGTAGCTGAGCGACCCCTCTGAATGCGCGATCTCTTCGGTGACATAACTAATCTACAAAGAAGATCAGTGGTTTAATTATGTCAAGAATTGATGAGAAGCATAAATCCATTATTAAAAGGAAAATTGTGAATTTTAGCTAAAATCCTATAAAAGTTAGGATTTTCTAGTTAAAAATCCAATTAAACCTATGGATATCAAAATTAGGACATGGAGTTCTATCAATATACAAAATTGAGATAATAGCTTCGGGCTATATCCAAATCTAGCAAGCAAGTAAGTTCGATCATCAATTGAAATCAAGCAAGAAAGTATAACATGAACACATAGTCAAGCTTTATGCATGACTAAAGATTCAAGCCAAAATTAATCTAAGGACTTCGGGCATATTTGCGTACAAGTTAATAGGACAATTTCCAACAAGCTCAAACATCTCAAGGGTTCAGTTCAAATCCCACATACAACCAAGCTAAGTTTTAGTTTTCATTTATCATCCAAAGGCCCGACACAAAAAAAATCCTAAAGCAAGAAGTTTCGGCTAGATTGAGCATACAAAAATAAGTCGAGGACATCGTCTCCTACCCAAAATTGAATCCATGCCTCCCCCACAAACAATTGAGTTTGGCTCACACCCAAAAGCAAAACCATAGCCTCGATTCTCGTCCAAAATCAAGCCAAATACCTAAAAAAACCAAGCCAAAAATCTTAAATACAAACTAAGGTTTTAGTTCTCATTCAAAACCGAATTAGAAAATGATCCTCGTACAGAATTCAGAAGTAGGGGAACAGCTCTTGCTCAAAACTAACAACGAAGGCAATTCTTGCTTAAAAACTGAACTAAAGGAGAATTATTACCTAATATCAAGATGAAACAAAACTAAAATACGAAGGGGAGAAGTTTTACCTCAAGAAAAATTAGCGTTGACCATGAAATTGCAAGGGAGGACCTCGGGTTCCTGTCAAAGAGAAAGGAAGAGGGGATTTAGCTATGTGCATGAGGAAAACTGAGGAACAAACCAAAAATCGTGTTAAAGCTTCGATTTCCCCCCCAAATTTGAGAATTAGGGTTTTGAATGTCCCCCCAGGAACAATAAAAAAATTCAAAAGAATTGAACAAAATTAAAGCAAGGAGAGCAAGACTTACTTGGAACCAAAGGACGAGGGGGCTCGTCGAAGAAAAACCCACGGCAACAGACTTCAAATCCGAAGGAAGTAGCTGAAACCCTAATTCTTCAAAGGAGAAAAACTGAGGAAATTGAAGAGATAGAAGGAAGGAAGGGATTCAAAGGACTCTTTTAAAGGGTTGGGGAAGGAGACTCGAGCTCGGAGAAAGTGGGAGAAGTTAGAAGAAATCACAAAAAAATCGGAAGTTTGGAGCTCTTAAAAACTCCCACGAACCCGACCCCCAGCCAGCCTCAGCTAGCTCATAGCTTGCACATGTGCGAGCCACATGGAGGTGACTCGCACGTGTGGGGGTCTTAGGGATGTTTTCGCATACATTTTTGCCAATTTTCGCTTGTCTTTAACGTATTCGAGGTACGTATTCCTACTCCAATGAGTATACGAGTCTAAACTGTATCTCCTTGAACCTCTAACGGGTGTATGAGGTTAAACTAATTCCCGAAACTCCCAGGAGTATAGGAGTATAAACTGGTCCTCATTGCTCCAATGCCTTAAGAGCTTAAACTGTGTAGACTCTAGTTAACGTATGAGTATAAATTGTGTTCACGTCGGTCAACGCATGACGATAAGAGTCGACACCATTCAACGCGAGTCGATGCCAATCAACGTACGACGAGGGAGGTCGACGCGAGTCGACACCGTTCGACACGAATCGACGTCAGTCAACGCGTTGATAATTTTGCCAGAAATAAGGCTTAGGATTATTCTCAATTCTGAATTAACCCCGGAGAGTTCAATCGTGATTCAGATATGAATTCCCGATGAATATGATCAGCTCAACATCGATCCAATGACATGAGTTAATTCATATATCAACGCGCTAGTTTTAGTTTAAGATTTTAACAACGGTCAGATGATAAATACAGTACCGGAAAAGTTTTAGCTATTCGACAATATACTGAATAGACTAAAAGCTGAAAAAGTCAATGAAATGGAGGCTAAGCGTATCATATCCAAAGTATTCTAGCATCCTCTATAAAATATGAGACTAAAATACTTTGGAGGGGGCATCTGTAGGCATCAAAAAATCCCTATAGGTCCTAAACACAGCTCGAGATTATGAGCCTTCGAGCGACGAACCGTCAGACGACGTGGCAATAAGCTGTCGAAACAAAAAAGTGGCGAATCATTAATGACGTAGCAATTAGCCACCTCTAAATGGCCTGCACGCTCATTAGCCACCTCCATGTGACCCGCACGCTCATTGACCACCTCCAAGTGGCCCGCAAATTCATCAACCATCTCCAAGTGGCCCGCGTGCTCACCAGCCACCTCCAAGTGGTCCGCACGCTCATCGGTCACCTCCAAGTGGCCCGGGCGCTCACCGACCATCTCCAAGTAGACCGCGTGTTCATCGGCCACCTCCAAGTGGCTCGCACACTTATCATTCAGCTCTAAGTGACCCGAACGCTCGTCAGTTGCCTCTAAGTTAAAGAAACGGATAAAGCGAATCGATGAAAAGTACAAGTCAGCAAAATGACGAAATACGCGTAACAGTAAAACTGGAATAAACCAGAAAAGTCCCTGGCGACCGAGTCACATCGAAAACAACTCGGCCAAGGCCGAGCCACTAAATGGTGGCTCTCTCAAGGTCAAGCCACCATTTGGTGGCTCATACAATGCCAAGCCACCGTGGGGTGACTCGCACCCAGAAACACTAAAAATGCATTTTAAATGGTTTTAGATGGTTTTCACGGGATTCTTTTGTTCCAGAGCCTCCCAACTACTTGGATGCTATCCCTAAATGTGATTAAGTGGTTATTAACTGAGGATAACATCAAATCATCAATTCTTATCCGAAATTATCGTAACCGAAGCCTATAAATACAAGCCTAGGGCCCTATACGCAGGGGATCGAAAATCTGAAGGCGATGTGTTGTCAAATTGAAGAGTGGAGCATGAGTTTTAGAGGAGAGCTAGTAGATATTGGCGAACTTTAGCATAAAGAGGGAGTTATTCAAAGGATCTGAGGCTTGTTTCACCATTTCCTTCAGATCAAACTTGATTTTGATCTCGAGAAGAGTCATAATCTCACTTGATCGAGATTATCACTTATGTGATTACTTCTTTTGTGGAGAAAAAGCATTAATTAACTTTTCTATCAATCGGATCTGATCTGCGGTGGTCCATGGACTAATGTGTCCCCGACACAGGCAAAGATCACACGCAAGCAGCAAGTGATAAACGTCCTCTGTGTGTGTTTGAAGAGAGTTGTAATTTTTATTTTATTTGTGTAAGCGAGTAATCTTACAAAAAGATTAACTCTTCTTGAATCTGTAATTGATAAACAAGTGTAATGGATTTAGCTACAAATAAACTAACTTTCACCGTAAATAGTCGTGTTCTAGAAGGGCAAAGAAGGGAATGCTAGAGCGGGGCAGTTCAGAGACAAGGGCAAGAATAAAAGACTATTTTCAAGGTCCGGAGGACCTCAGTAGCAGGGCAAGGGTACACAACAGCAGCAGGGTCCCCATAAGAAGGGATCATAGCATGATCAGAGAGCACTCTAGCAGCGTAAGTTTCAGAGTGCATGTTATAACTGCCACAAGATCGGTCACAGAGCCGCCGAATGTCGCAATGCACCAGTAGGAGCCCAGCAGGGCAAATGTTAGGGTCAGCAGTAGAACTGAGTACAGAGCTAAGGTTAGGGCTAGTAGTTGAGACTTGAGGTACCACTAGCAGTTTCGAGGATTGAGGGACATGTCCGTGCTATTCAGGAGATTCCTTAGGGACATCTAGTCTTATATACCACAGATCCTTCAGTGCAGCAATCCACAACTTCAGGTAGAGTGTATGTTGTCGTACCGTGTGATCATAGTGCGAGCAAGGCCATAGTGGAAGCTACGTTCCTTATGAACTCCTTCCCAGCCTGTATTCTTTTTGATTCTAAAGCTTCGCATTTGTTCATCTCTTATGATTTCATGATTAAACTCCAGCTAGTGGCACAACCTTTAGACATTCCCTTGTCAGTTTCTACCCCTCTAGGAGATGTGTCGCTTCTAGAGAACATCTGTAGGAGATGTGTCGTTAGCTTAGATGAGTCTAAGTTCATAGTTGATTTGATCGTCTTGCGCATGTCTGAGTTCGATATTATTCTTGGTATGTATTGGCTATCTTCCTACCATGTCAGTATTGACTGTTTATGAAAACAGCCAGTTTACAAGCATTCAATGGGACTGAGTTGGTTGTAGTGACCTCACAGGGCAATTAGTTTGCGGAGTCATTCCTAGCATATGTAGAGGAGGTGTTGTTACGAGATTAGGGTGCTGATTTGTGTGAGACCAGAGTCATCTCAGAGTATCAGGATGTCTTTCAGGACATACTTGGATTACCTTCAGTGAGAGAGGTTGAGTTCTTCATCGGGTTGTAGCCGGGCACTGCACTGATGTCCTGTGCACCTTATTGTATGGCGCCTGTTGAGATGAGGGAGCTACATACTTAGTTAGAGGAGCTCATTGCTCAAGGTTTTATTCGTCGGAGTCATTCTCCATAAGGAGCACCGGTTCTTTTTGTGAAGAAGAAGGATGACATCATGCGTTTGTGCATAGATTATCGTGAGTTGAATAAGGTCACCATCCAGAATAGGTATCCACTACTGAGAATTGATGACTTATTCGACCAATTGCAATGAGCATAGTATTTCTCAAAGATTGATCTGAATATCACCAGTTGCATGTTCGGGAGATGAATATTCCCAAGATCACATTTTTGACTCGATATGGGTCTTTTGAATTTCTTGTTATGCCATTTGGGCTAACTAATACACCTGTCGTATTCATGGATTTGATGAACTGGATTTTCCGTCCATATCTGGACCAGTTCATGATTGTTTTTATTGACGACATCCTCATCTACTCGCGATCGGAGGCCGAGCACGAGCAACATCTTCGATTAGCATTGCAGATATTACGGGAGCACCAGTTGTATGCTAAATTTAACAAAAGTAAGTTTTGGCTTTCTGATGTTAGATTTTTGGTCCACATTATTAGCAAGGAGGGTATTGCAGTTGATCTGGCTAAAGTCGAGGCCGTTCTTGATTGGGAGCCGCTGAAGACCGTTACAAAGATTCGTAGATTTTTGGGACATGCGGGCCACTACAAAAAGTTCATTCAGTATTTTTTGAAGATTGCTACTCCACTGTCATGCCTTACGAAGAAGTGTGTTCAGTTTGTATGGGGACCAGAGTGTCAGAAAGCTTTTGAGACTTTGAAGGCTAAGTTGACTATGACACCAGTGTTGATCATACAGAGTAGTGACAAGATCTTTGTTGTCTACACAAATGCATCGTTATCGGGTCTAGGAGCATATTGATGTAGACTCAGAGAATAGTTGCGTACATTTCACAACAATTGAGGACTCATGAGCAGAATTATCCCACACATGACTTGGAGTTAGCTATGGTAGTCTTCACACTGAAGATGTGGATACATTATAATTATGGAGTTTAGTTTAAACTGTTCACCAACCATCAGAGTCTGAAGTACCTCTTCTCTCAGAAGGAACTCAACCAGAGACAGCGGCGATGGGTCGAGCTCATCAAGGATTACGAGTTCGGACTACAATATCATCTGAAGAAGGCGAACGTCATAGCTGATGCTTTGAGTAGGAAGCGTCGTCACATGATTTCAGCTTTGAGGTGTTTATTGTATCGAGACCTTCGTACACTCAGCCAGTTTGACTTTAGGCTAGAGATTGGCGGGGGCAGTCATTTTAGGGAGATTTAGTCGTACAACAATCTTAGACTGATATGCTGGTCAGTACTTAATTGGAGGACTCTTGGATTCAAACCCAATATAGGGAGATTTCCAAAGAGCCCAAGGCTGATTGGACCATCGGATCAGATGAAAGCCTTCGAATGAAAGGCTGATTAGTGGTGTCGGATATTCCATAGTTGAAGAAGAAATTATTTGATGAGGCACATCACACTAGGTACACTGTGCACCCACGCACAATCAAAATGTACAAGGACCTGAAGAGATATTTTTGGTGGAGCGACATACGTAGGGATATTGCAGAGTATGTAGTTAAATGTTTTACCTTCTAGCAAGTAAAGATAGAATATCAGAGACCCGTGGGTACCCTATAGCCTTTACCATTTCTGAGTGGAAGTGGGTAGATATTTCGATGGGTTTTATTGTGGGCTTGCCGAGGTCTAACAAAGGGAACGATTCAATTTGGGTGATTGTTGATCGATTAACAAAGTTGGCGTACTTCTTGCCATTTAAGACGGCCTACACAGTGGAGACTTATTTGAGGATTTTCATTTGGGAGATTGTACATTTGCATGGAGTTTCAGAGACGATTGTATCGAATCGTGGCTCAGTTCTCACATCCTATTTCTAAAAGAGTTTTCAGAATTCTTTCGGCTGCCAGCTATCAAATAGTAGTGTTTTCCACCCACAAACAAATGGCCAAACAGAGAGGGTCAACCAAGTGCTGGAGGACATGTTACATGCATGTGTTATTGATTTTCAGGGTAGCTAGAAGGATCATATTCCATCGATTGAGTTTGCATATAACAACAGTTATCAATCGATGATGGGTATGGCTCCTTATGAGGCGTTGTATGGGAGGCCTTGTGGATCCCTGATTTGTTGGGCAGAGCCAGAGAATAGCTTGCTACTTGGACCAGAATTGGTTAGATAAACTTTAGAGAAGATAACATTGATTCGAGAGCGTGTTCTTACAGCCCAGAGTCAGCAAAAGAGTTATGCGGATCAGAGGATTTCGAATTTAATAGAAGAAGGAGAAAAAGGCCCTAAATGAAAAATTTTCCTATTTTCTTTTACACTAATTTGAAAATATCCCCTTATAATTATTTGAATGAGGCTAACTACAACTGTCACATTGTTAGAAATAAGCTAAAAAATTATCATGTGATAGATTACATGAGTGGTTGCTAGAAGAATTAGTTGAAAAATTTATTTTTGAGCCTATTTATCTGATTGTACAAGTTTAAATGCATTGTTATTGACAGAGACGATTTTAATACCAATCTTTGTCATTGTATACCGCCTTTAGTACTTTTGATGTCAGTTATCAAATAGGGGGCTTATGTTAGAGTCATGAAAGTGCTTAGGGTTCTCAAACTCCTTCAGATAATTGGTTCTAGAGTCTGATATTCTTCCCTGCACATAAAAAACTCGTAAGAGGATGGAGTTGGGTTCTCCGGTTGTTCCTCCGATGATCAAATTAGTATTTTGATATTGAGTGGGGAAATCAAGGACAAATTGTATATGGTAGTTATTCATGTTAGCCTTCTTGTTTTGATGATGTTTAACAAACAATTTATAACTAATGTTGTTTGTCTAGTGTTGGTATATTTTTATTTATTATAGACAAACAACGAGTTAGAGGATGGATGGAATCGAGCCTTAACGATCATATCAAATGGAGGTTGGCGGAATTGTGGAGTGAAGCAACATCAATTCAAGTTAAAGATCCAATTACAAGCTTCTTCCGCAAAGTTTACCAAGTCATGCTCATTGAAGACCTTCATCAAGCTTGGATATATTTAGTATAGGTTTATATTATGTGTGTTTAATACTCTAAGCTCAATATCATATACACACACAATATTGGATTTTCTCACAAAATGAGCTATTTTGAGAAAACTTTGTGATATTATTTTATTGACCATGTTTACTTTATATTCATGTGTTATAATGTTTATGAAGACATTTCATAAAGTTTCAATATGCGTTTAAACTCTTTTTGTCAAAAACATGTTCTTAACAAATTCATATTCATGCATGTTTTTACAAAATAATGAGTTTTCACAATTGAGAAATGAAAATTGAAAATTTATTTTTGTAACATGTTTTTTTTCATGTTTATAAACATTTTGCAAAGTTTCATCAAGTTTAGAATTGATTTGTTATGTTTAATGGAATTTACAAAATCATGTTTTTGTTCGTGCACATGTTCGTGCATGTTTTACAAAACAGATGAGTTTTCATAAATGGGAAGTTATATTCAAGAAATTCTTTCTTTGACATGTTTATCTACATGTTTAAAAACTTTTCTCAAAATTTTACTATATTTGGAGTTGATTTACTATGCCCAATTGATTTTACAAAATCGTGTATGTCAGCAGATTTTCAGAAACTGTGGAGTTGATTTACTATGCCCAATTGATTTTACAAAATCGTGTATGTCAGCAGATTTTCAGAAACTGTATTTCTGTGTTCAAACATTACAAAATCGTGTATGTCAGCAGATTTTCAGAAACTGTATTTCTGTGTTCAAACATTTATTTATCTCAACTGGGAAATGGTTTTTCATAAATTCTTTCTCTAACATGTTCTTATACATGTCTAAAACCTTCTCTTAAAATTTCATAATTTTTGGAGTTGATTTACTATTTTTAATTGATTTTACAGAGCTGGATATATAGTGCTACAGTACCAGCGGTCGATCGCGCTACAGTGCGGTCGACCGACGAACTCTCTGGAAAACTCCTCCGTTTCTGACATTATTCGCGGTCGACCGTGATTTTCCTCGGTCAACCGTCGTAGTTCCAACGACTATTTTTAGAGCCGTTACAGAGTGTTTTTTTTTGTCTTTTTTTTTGGCTTTCTCTTACCTTTGGGGTTTCATATAAATACCCCATTACCTCAGTTTTTACAAAGAGACAAGAGAATGTTTTAAAGAGTTTTAAAAAGAGTTTAAGCTTATTTTAAGCTTGTTTAAGGGTTTGGTTTAAAACTGTTTTGGTTTTCACAAGTGGAGGAGATTATCTTCTTGTTTGGGCTTCAATCTCCATCTCTCCATCTTGTCATCTATTGGAGAAGTTTTCTAAACTCTATCTAGATTTACATTTGCTTAGTTATTTGATTATCATTCTATTAAAGCTAGTTTTATATTGAGTTTAGATTTGTTTTATCTCATTGTTACACACACCCACTTGAGCTTATTGTATTTGCATATATAGTATATTAGGGTTGTGAGAGATTGTAACATTGAGTTGTGCTTTCATTGTGTTCTCATCCATAGTAGAGAACAAATAATTATTGTGTTGAGCCAAATTGTGAGATCACATTGTAATACACTTGTACACCGAGAGGAGTGTGTGGTGAGAGTCGGGGATCATTCCAAGAGGAGTGGCGTCAGTTGACGAGCCTAAAGAGAGGTTGTAACCGAGTACTTGAGGGAGACACGGCTAGGTCCAACACTTGTGTGGGTGTAGAGTGTGATTGCAAGAGTGTCGATTGTAAAGTTTTTGGTTAGCTAGAAAACCTAGTGTGAGATGTAAACGTTATTCGGGTGAACGTAGAAAACCCGGTTGTGATAGTGGATTTCTCCCCGGGAGAGGGGAGCGGAGACGTAGGACGGAAGGTCCGAACTCCGTGATCATATTGTTTGTTTGAGTTTGTCTTTGGCGTATTTGCTTTTGCATTTATCTTATATCGTCATTTGTGCATTGCTCATTTATTTCATCCACTATCTTGTTTAGTTTATTGTTTCCCCTTGTGTTAGTTTATATATATCCTTGCATATATATTTCATCATATATGATATATCTCATTGTTCATATTGCTTATCCTAGCTTATATATTTGTTGTATTTCATACTTGCTAGGATAACTTATTAATTAATTTTAATTGGCATATAATCGGATTAGATTAGCATAAGACCCTAATCACCCCCCCCTCTAGGGTCTAACAATTCAAATTTGCTAAAAAAGCAGAAGAAGTTACCCCATGCAGTGTAGTTCCCTTTTATAGCAGATCAGAGGGGTATGAAGGTAACTTTAGCCAAGTCTAGTCAGGTTACTGAGTCAGCAGATACCTTTTAGGTGTCGGTCATAGAAGAAAGTGAGTCATATGGTCATTTAATAAGGGAATAACAATAAGTGCTTGGAGCTGATTTGGTCCAATGAGTCATAAAGACTATGGAGGCTATAACAATGATGATTTTATTAGAGCAGTGAATGTGAGAGCAATCGGCTAGCGAGGGGTTTTGAGGTAACTGCCATCTCTCTTTTTGTTTGGTCAAGGACCGAGAAGCACCGCCTTTTGAAAGTGCTACGCAAGTTATCAGCCGACGCAGTAAGCCGAGTGCGGGTTGCTCATAGGGTCGATCGGGGGAGGTAGCCGACAAGTACCACCTTTTGACTTGGCTACGTAAGTTGTCATCCCATAGGGTCGATAAGGTGAGGTAGCCGACAAGTACCACCTTTTGACTTGGCTACGCAAGTTGTCAGCCCATAGGGTCGGACGTAGGAGTAGTTTGAGTCGTCTTGGCCTCAATTCGTTTGATTAGGCAAGAGCTGATACATGTGTCGGCTTCTCTAGGGAGATTAGCACTTGTTGATTTTCTAAACTATAACAAATACCCATCTTGTAATTTAGCCATTCCATTCTCATTATCTATCCCTAAATAGACACAAATTATAACATACACTCTCTTCCTTTCTTGTCAATCCAAACACAATTGATTTCATTCCATCCACTTTCTCTCCATCCCCCTCTTCTTGAGATTACTTTAATCCTTCCTATGTCCTACTCTTTTGTGTATCCAAGCCCAGAGTAAAGCATCACTATGTATTTAATTTTTTGTTTTTTTAGATTTTAATCCCTCAAATATTCAATACTTACATATTAGTCCCTTAAATTTATGTAATTGTTAAAAAGTTCCTCAAATTCTATGGGCCGTACAAGATGGTCTCTCAATAACCAAAGTGCCCTTCATGTTATGGTTTTCTAAGACAGGTGAAATAGTTGGTTTGGTAGCTTTTGACTATTTTTGTCAAACCGAACCAAACCAACTGAATCAAATTGGTTCGGTGCAGTTTGCTTTGGTTTGTTCATTTTGGGCATATACATGTTCACTAAGAGAAATTTAAGCAAAAAGACAATAATATTAATCTTGTAAACATTTCACTCATTTCATATCCTAAGTTGAATAGCAAACTCTTCAAATCAATAACTTTTACAAACTAAGACCAAACCTTTATCAATTAAGATACCTAAAAATATTTATTCATTGTTGCTAAGACCTAAGAATATTAGTATAACTTATCCATCCAGTTAGAAAGAGCATAAATTTGAGACAATTATATTGAGGTTGGTTAGTTCAGTTATTTTGATGTCAGATATTTTAGAATCGAATTGAAGTTTTCTAGAACAGAATTGAACTGAAGTTCAGAGCAGTCAGCTTAATATGTTTGCCCCGAGGTAATGTCACCACTATTTGCGAACACAGGGATTTTGAGGGAAAAACATAAGTTGAGGACATCTTGTTCATTGAGGGGCCAATTTGTGAAGACCCCTAGGATTTGAAGGGCTTATGAGCAATTTCAAAGATTTGAGGGGCTAATATGAAATTCTTGAAGATTTGAGAGACTAACATTTTGAAACCCCTCAATTTTTTTAAAAGTTCACAAAATTATTTATACACCGTTCATTTATTTTTCCCCTCTCACACGCTCCGTACGCTATGATCAATGGACCCCATTGGACCCATCTGCTAAGGGGTTGTTTGTTTCACACAAAAACTGCAGAAAGAGCCCCAAAAAAACTAGCACAAGAAAAATTTAACATTTTCTTTCACAATCATATGTTTGGTTTGCAAAAAATAAAAAAGAAAGTGAAGGAAAGCTTGGACGCCACATATTTTTCTCTCAAAATTTTTTCGCTCTTTTGAGCCTGATTACGGAGGAAAACACCCACTTTTCTCTCTCCTTACGAAAAAACCCGATTCCACTTTCCCCTTCCATTCTCGTTCTGGTCACCCCCCTCCCCCTTTCATTCTTCTTCCTCCTTCCCCTTCTCTTCTGCCTTGCAAAGTTGAGCTTCCAATCTAGGGCTCGGCCTCTTTTGTTGCCCCCATCTCTTTTGTTCCCTCCCGCCGCGGCCTCCCCTCCACCCACTCACATGCGACGCCCTCCTCCCCCTCGCCCTACACCACCTCACCTCCCCCTCTTCACCCCCTCCACCCTCCTCCGAGTCATCCGCGAGATCACCCAGGTTGTCGGCTCCACCGGCATGGCCGCGGGCCAGCTCCTCGACCTCGAAGAAGAAGCGGCACGCGAGGACAATGCAATCCGTATCCTATAGAAGAAGTTCGGGGAGATGGCGTAGTGCTCGTCCGTGTGCGGGGGCCTGATTAGCAGGGCCACGAACGAGGAGGTGGAGAGGCTGAGGAGGTATGGGAGGGCG